GTAGAAAAATAGTGTGCGACATACGCAATAGGCAGGAGTGGACATGAATTTTGTGCCTGCTGAAATGTAGAGGCCTACTTGTACAGGTTCCACTCCAGTGGCCTATCTAGTGTGTCCATGCTTGACTGCCATAAGGCTCAAGAGGATAAGACTCTGCGTATAAAAGACACTAGCGGTCTGCACCTCAACCGTGTACGCCCTAGTCACTCTTTCACCCCCTCCACTCCCCTCCCCTCCACTCCCCTCCCCGTCCCCTCCCCTCGTCGCCAGCACTACTAAATTCTGGACATAAGGTGAAGTCATGCGCTTAACAGTCACAGCAGCACGACGCTGGCCATGAGGTTGCGCAATACAGCACGAACCCTGCGCAATGAGATCGCGCAATGCAGCTTCGATGCCGCGCGTGCGCACCCGGCAGCCTGACACAGCGCGTACTGCGTTCACGGACCATATTGCTCGACACCAACGAGCATCGATGCAACACAGCCTCTCTGCAAAGCCCTGTGGAGAAACCCCTCGCGTCGCGGAACACCGTTCGACTCAGCCTTACACCCTAGCGTGGCGAAATCTTACCGCATCGTGGAGCACACCCACCATAGCGTGATGTCCATCCCTGGCAGTACCGGCCGCACCCCTCCAGCACTATCCTTACAAGGGGGTTGGTCACTGAGTCACTGCGGCTTCGACGCAACGCGCGCAGGCCTGTAATCCTGACACAGTGCGTGCAGCTGTGGGACCATAGCTGGTACACATGCGAGCGTTTACGCATTGCGACTTTTACGCGCGCCTGTTTTCACACACCTAGACACAAACGAGCGTCGACGCAACGCAGCCTCTCTGCAGAGCCGTGTGGCGCAATCTGACCGCAACGGAGTTCCTCTTGAGCCTTCTTATGCCTTCTTGTGCTCTCTGGCTTTGTTGGTTTCATCCATGATTGACCAAGGGGCACGTTCCTGAAACACCGGAGACAGTCCCTCACCAGAAAAGGTCCCGACAGCTACTCGGTCCGTCTCTACCTTTCGTGTTTCCCCGCTCAAGTGCTATTGTGACTATTATTATGTCTTTGCAGTATGTTGCACCAACGACGGCACACACAACATGTTTCAATCAATCATTCATTTGGGAAGCTCATCAAAGCCGAGGCAAGGCTGAGGAGACTTACGACGGGACACAGTCGGGGACCTTCTCCGTGAATTGGGATCAGCAGATGAGTACGGGTATGATGAGCCCAGGCGTCGGTATTCCTGGTGCTCGGGCACGGCCACCTAGCGTGATTCACGTGGAGATTCCTGAAAACAAAGTGGCACGTATCAGTACCAGCAGAGATTTGAAAGCCACTTGGCGGCTACGTCCGAGTCTACGTCCGCTTTCTTTTTGTGTCGCGGTGCAAAAAGGTGGAATAGGGATGCTAGATCGGCTAGACCAGTATACCCCTGCCCAAGTGATACCCGTGGCAATGCCCAAACCACACCAAGCCCGCTGAGAGGAATACCATATATAATAATCATGAATATTGCATTTGATTTGTTGTCTATGGTCAACTAACCTCACCTTCAACGTAACATCCTTTTGCGGCTTCCCGCGGGCCACTGTTCACAACATCAGCTAGGATATATAGTCTCGTTGGAACATGTTGGAACAGGCCACCTGTCCGTAGCAGACATTTAAACAGTTTCTGTGACTGGGTCAAATCCTTGCGATGCTATGACCGTTTCTGACTGTCGATTCCATCAAGCATGGGACCAGATACAGAGGTTTCTGCGAGGCACCGCTTGACCATTTTAGCTAGTAGGTTGGAGGTCATCTCTAGCTCGGAGGCCATGGCTATGCACGGTTGCAGTGCTCCTCTCGCCCCAGGCAAGCTCCTCTCGCGTCTCCCGTTCCTCCATGGCTTCGGGTCGATCCAAGCAGTCGGCCACCGCCTCCAACGTCTCGGAGATGGTCTTCGGGCGAATGTTCAATGTCAACCGGAAGAAGGTGACTGATACCACGGGCATATCAAGTTATTTGTATACATACATGCGTTTAACTAACAACAAATGTATACATAGTATGTACATAAGGGGGGTAATGATGATAATAGTAATACTGTAACAATAATAAAAATAAATTAATAGTAATAATAATATATAGTAATAATAATAATAATAATATATATACAGTAATGGTTTCATGTTGTTATCATTGAGCTTTTGCCATAGTTTTTGTTGATGCTCGTGGTGCTTGGCTTGGTAATACGCTCTCAGAGGCACCTTTTTCGGTGGGTCTTCGGTCGTTGTTTGAAATCGTTGCTGCGCAGGTGGATGAGGCCCGTGGGACTGAGCTCGGTTTAGAGCACTGTTTGGGACTCCTTTCGACTCTCTTTTCCTTTGGGTCCAAACGGCACAAATTGAGAATATGTTGCCATCAACAGCACAAAAAATGGTAGGACCCATCTAGCCGAAAACTATGCTATCCCTGAAGGAGCAGGTTTCATGTGGCATTTGGTTCACTCGCCCGACGGTCGTTGTTCGCAGCGTTTGACCCCTGAGGTGTCCATGACCTCCTTTGATACGCATGAGGAGCAGATGCACAAAGAGACCCTCAGGGAGTCACAAAAGCGGATGTCAGAAGAAGAGGTGCAGCTTGGAGGCACTGGGGAGGTGCAGTTTTTTCGTGGAAAGCATTCCACCCCTGGAAGTTTGCAGAAGATTGAGGCCAGCTTGTTGTATTGGGATTGGATTGAATGACTCTCCCAAGGCCACTGTAAATTCATTGGGGAAGGGGTTTTACATGGTCTCACCATTCGAAGAAGCACAGTCGTGTTCTTTGACAGTTTGACTTTGCACCTCACTTTTGCAGCCAAGGCTCACCAAATCTTGGGAGAGTGGTGATTCCAGGTCCCTATCCTCATCCATTAGGACAGATGCGGGCTTGGGCTTGGTGTGCCAATTGGTGAAGTACAGTGCTGTTGAACCCCCTAATATTCCTCAGACTTAGTGGACTATTGGAACGCCTGCGCTTTCCTAGAAGTTAGGGCGATCGTTTTGGAGGTCCTGCTGCGCTGCTTGATTTGGGGATGTTGCCTATCCATCGAGGCTATCGCTCGAGCCCTTTGCCGAGTGTTAAGCTCTTTTTTTGAATATCAGTCCATCACGGTGAAGGTGGGTGTTTGCATGCCAAAAGCCAAGACAATGCCCCCCCAAGAGAAAGATGTTGGCGTGTTCCTCTCCCACGCCATCCAAGATGAAAGACTTAAGCTTATTATGACTCTTACTGTCTCATCATCCCGCGATGCTACTCAACGACCGAAAGAGAGGTGCAGGGCCGCACATTTGTTCAGCTTCCTTTACTCATGCATACTCATGCGAATTATCGTTTGGTTTTGTTGACATGCTCATTCCCGCTCATTTCCCTTTCCTTACTTGAGTTGTTATTTTTGTTTGCCTTACAATTTCTTTCTTGCCGTTCGATTCTATTCCTTTTAAAGCCCACGTCATTCTATTCCTCTTACGGCCCGCGTCATTCCTTCCCTTTCCCATGCACCAAAATATGGTGTGTGGGCATGAAGGTGTGTTCCTTTATGTTCCTTTATTTATATTTAGTCCTATTGATGTGTTCAACTTAAAGTTCATGACCACTGTCGGTGTTGGCCAAGATGGGGACTCGGCCAATCTGTGAGGTTAGAACAGACATTACATTTTCTATTTGCCAGTCAGAGACCCCTTCAGAAGCATCCAGAAGAGTGCTGCCTACTGACAATGATGGCAGTCACAGGGCCAAAACCGGCCAAAGCTCCACTGAAAACCCTTGAAAACCGGATTTCACTGGCACTCAGTTTCACTGGCACGTCACCATTACCATGTCTATCACGAGCAACAGAGTCGGCTTCTGCCACTGTTTCACAGTGCGGTTCCCGGTTCCGGCGCGACCGGTCACGCTTCACGCGCGCGGGTCACGCGCTCAGGAGCCTTGTGGCTTCTTGGAGCTTTGAAGCCTTTTTCGCCCTGGCGATCTTCTCCAACTCGATTTTTATTGGGATTGAGGCCTAACCCAAGCGTTTCATTGGTGGAATGGCTTTTGAAACTCCATGCGTTTACGCGGACATGTTCTGTTTTTTCTCAGTGCCTTGATGAAAAGGTTTGTCTCCAGTATCACAGATCACTACGGTCGCGGAAGGTAATGGCAGTCGAAGGTCTTTAGCTCGTGGAGACAGACACACATAATTACTATATATATATATACAGTAGATCCCACCAGTACTTGGTACCCGATGAGGATGAACTTGCCCACAAGCAACAGATTAAAACCTTCATTTAGGGGCCGGTTTGAGGTTCCCAAATTCCTCGTCAGGACTCACGAAGGCCCCCCATTCCGGTATTACCTAAGACCTAATCTAAAGTATATGGTCAGCTTCGATTGCGCATCCGCAGTCCGTTGATGCGCAAGGTGTAGCAGTCCGTGACCTTTGGGAAGCGGTAGCAGGAAGTCAGTGACCCCAGGTTCCTACAATCCATTACAACTTAACCCAACGTATGTATCTTTGTCGAAAGCAAAAAAGTCGAAGAAGCTCAAGGAAGCACTTGCGCGCGAGCTGTTTGGGGAGCCCCTCACTCATCAAAATTGGAGGCTCAGTGCACAGGTTGCTCGAAGCCATGAATGATCCTAAGAGCGCCTTGTTGAACACTTTGTGGGCCCATTGCTTGGAGGTACGTCCATCTACGAATCTACAATTTCATCAAGGGCAGAAGGGTTGTCAAAAGGATTGAAACACGCAAATCACAAAAACCAAGCAATCAGTGGGGGCCAGGGTTTGGTACTGTAAGCGGTTGATGCAGTGGTGGACATGGGGGATTAAGGTTCATTATATAGATTAAATCAATACTTTTAAATAGGCATGTCATGCACAAGCACTGCAGGTGATACAAATTGTTTTTGCTTCCAGTAGATCCATCTAAGTACGTTCCAAGATCCAAACCACCGTGGAGGTTCATTATGCAGCACATCATGTTGGCAGCGCAATGCCCTCCGCGTTCTTCTACATTGACCAGACGCTCGGAGCTTTACATCAGGAGTCCAACGCTTGTTGATCAGGTGTTTGCGCCTGAGGATCTATGCTGCTCTCTTTTTGATTGAGCTCGTGCTGCGGATGATCTCGGAAGGAGGCCCCCCCTTCTTCTTCAAGTCTCCTAACATCGCATGGCAGCTTGCTTGCAAGAAGAGAACTCTCAACCGCACCGGTTTGAGCTTTGGAAATAGGCTGGGGATGGACCAAATCATGAGTGGCATAACTTTTGCAGATGGACATGGGGTGACTCACTAACTCATCATCCAACGCCTGCACGCGATGAAGCCTCAAATGATGGGAACAGGCAAGCCTCTTGACCTCCACTGCTAGAGATCTTGTTCATTCACTCCAGGTTGTTGTTGAAGAAGCTGTTAATGTATTTTGCTGAATTCCTTGACATGAATGGAATCCAGGGTGCTTTTGACCAGTTGGGGCCGGCTCCATTTACATTCAGAGTGGCCCCAGGCCCCAGGATGCACCTATTCGGATTGACTAGACGACACGGATGCCTTGGCCAGGAACTACTTGGATTTAATGATCAACGCCACCTCAGTCCTGAATTTGGTCTCCGCAGTTGCCAGCACCTCAAACCAGGACGCTGAGACCATCAAGGCAAGGGACACCGAAACAGACATGTTGCTGGAACCAATAGGCAACACACAAGATGATCGATTTTGAATGGAACAATGTTGCTCGATGTTGGATGACTTTTGCATTTTGGCCCTGTTTGTAAGTCTTTGCCCGGCGCCAGCCCTTTCAAACCTGTGTGCTTGCGTTTGGTTCTGCCTCCAAGTCAATGCTGATGGAGGCATCTGGAAACATGCGCATTATCCGCATCCTACGATTGACAAGGATTATTCGAGTGGTGCGCATTGTGAAGATTGTCCGCTTCATCAGGGCCCTCAGGTCTTTGGTGCCTCAGCTGGCAATGGCTTCCCTCCTTCATTTGAGCTGGCACGCGGCACCTCCTTCCATGAAAGGCCTCACATCATCTGGGGCTCCGCCCGCGTCCTCGTGTCACGGCCGCGTGCCCCAAAACCGCTGCTCACCGGTCGGTCGCGTGAGGTTGACTCGATCTTCTGTACCATGAAGGTCTTGCTGTGGTCAGTCCTTCTCCTTGTGATGATCATGTGAGGGCCTTAGGCGGCGCTCGGCCGGGCCGAGCTTCGTTTTACTGGCCTGAAGACCTGATGCGACCTGATGACCTGCAGAGGTTTCGTCTCTGTTCTTTTGTTCGTGGGCTGTAGGACCCTTCCAGTTCTTCCGCTAGAGGATTCGAATGGATTCGATATAATATCACTGAGCGGAGCCACGATCAAGAGCCTTTGTGGTCCGCAATCGTCTACACGCCCTTTTTCTTCAGGTATGTCTTTGCGATTGTCTTCACCGATGTGAGCAGCGAGTATTCTCGTGGTTTTGAGGAGATCAGTGAAGCTAACTTAAAATTCATTCGGGAACACTTCCTGGATTTGGAGCGGTCAATCATGACATTGTTCCAAAGTATTTGCAATGGGATTGCGTGGGGTGAAGTGGCCGACAAGTTGAATGAGCTGAGCCGTATTTGGGGCTATCTCTATGTGACATACATTGCATTCTGCGACTTGGCAAGACCTGTATAGGCCAATGATGGCCAATGTGCAATTAATTGAAGCTACTGGCATGCTTTCAGGCTGCTCTTGCTGTCAAACAAGGACGTAGCACGCAAGCTAGGCTGGCGAATGTTTGCTAAGTCATTCGAGATGAGTCCTCCTTACAAAGCCTTACAGTAGTTTGAAGCTTCTGATTCACAAGGTTGGAGAACGCGCACACTGCGTTTCGCAACAAACAAAACAAATGAGAGAGAGAGAGAGAGCCAGGCACAGCAATCACACAGGCTAACAGGCAGAATCGGACCATGAGATGACATGCAGCGGGAAGAAGGAGAAGAAGAAGAAGAAGAATGTATGCAGCTGTTGTTGTTGCTGATAATTCACCGGAGAGCATGAGCTGTTTGGGTGGCAGAGCTAGGAAGAAAGTCTATGCAAGTGTATGCGAACGTAGCACTGCATGCAAACTGCAAAATGTATGGTTCTTTCATGTTCTTTCACTTCCACTTGGCCTTTTGCTTTTGCCACACTTCTGTGGACAGCTCTACTCACATCTTCCGGTGGCAGTCCCGCTGGGCCCGTGGGGACCGCGGTTCCCGGTGTTCCGAGATCATCCGACGAGTGCGGAATCCAAGGCCTTTTCGCGGTCCTCAATGTAATGACTGGAATGAGTCTTGGCGTGACTGTCAACTTGTTGGGTTTCGTGATGCAATCGTCTCAGAGTTTGACTGCATTGTGATGTTTTAGATGCACTTTGGGCTTGCACTTGTCATACTTCGCATGTGTGTGTGAGGTTCTGCCAATCTGCAATCGCAGCCAGATATTGAAACGAGTGCATTTTTACTCTTGTTTTCGTTTTTTTCTTTAACCTGTGCCGCGGGTCCCCTTTTTCATATTGGTTTGTAAGTGCTGAGACCAGACACACTGTCCCGAAAGGAAAGTGCTGAACGCGACCAAGAGCTACACATTCAAACCGTTCTGAGCACCAAGCAGCAACAGATTGAGACGTTCATGTCCATGTTTGAGAGGCTTCAGCAACGAGTTTCAAGACATAATATGCGTTTTGTGTGTTTTCTTGGCATTTGACCATATTTGACCTATTTAGTTATAACAACATTTAACAACAGCGCAACTTCCATACCCTGAGTGTTTGCCAAAAATTCGGAACGTTCTGAGGCACGACCTTGGACGAAGACCTACTGGTAACCTGACCTTCATGGAGTTTGAGGAACTGTTTTGCAAACCGCACATCCGCTCCTCGCCAGCACAACGAAGGGCGACGATGTGCGGCCTTGTTTTGCAAGCCATTTTAGAGGAAATGGCACACAAGTCAAGGTAGTTGTTTCTCTTCTCGGTGTCATTTCTGAACTCCGGGTCAACTGGTGGAATACCGTGTGCGGTTGGTGAATGTCCCTTGATTTGTGGCAACCTTTCAGAGCAGGTAGGAGCTTGCAAACGACACTTATCCAAGTTTGGGAATGCGTACCTGTTTAACACAGGACACAATGTTGTCCCCACACTTGCAAGAGGGACCACATACCCGGTTGTTGCACGGCGCATCCAAAAGAGTATGCATCATATGCCACACCTGACTAGGGTGCTAGGGTGGAGGCCAGGGTGGAGGCCATCGCTGCTATATAGTAAGAAGAAGCGACTAGGACATGTTTGGAAATGTCTCATTAGCCTTTTCTAGGGTCGCTTGTGTAGCGCATTTTGGGTCGCTTGTGCGTCGCGTTTTGGGTCGCTTGTGCGTCGCGTCTAGTACCACTACCACTACTACTACTACTACGACGACGACGACTACTACTACTACTACTCCGAGACCAGTACAGTGCCTTGCCTAGCGCCTTGCATCGCAATGCGCGTTGACAGACAGACCTTGAGAAGCACTCAGAGAAACTACCTGCGGCCTTGTCGTTTATCTTGAGCTCAGACACCCCTGTATATATATATATATGCCTCTCTCTCTATATATATGTATCTACCTACATCGAAGAGGTCGGGTATCTTCTTCCATGCTGTTAGATTCCACCTTGGCTCCTGTTCTATGATACTCTTAGACAATGCGTACTGCCAACATTTGTGGCTCAAGGTGCACTTTGTGCGACGCATGCTCTTGCTAGTCTGTCAGCCGATCCATGTTGACACCCCACCCCACCCCACCCACCCGGAGGTAAGATGTGATGATGTGTCCGCGTGGGCCAATCATTCCATTAGATCCCCACCCACCCCACGCCCCCACCCCACCCCACCCCACCCGGAGGTAAGATGTGATGATGTGGCCGCGTGGGCCAAATTGTTTGGATTCATTGACAATTCCCACATCTCACCATCATTTCCCATCGATGCGCAAGTGACCCGCTGGGTCGATGCGGTCGATGCGTAAGTGACTCTCCGATGCGCAAGTGGCCCCCGATGCGCAAGTGACCCATTTTGCGATGCGCAAGTGACCCTCCTGCCCTTTTCCAGTTCCAGGTTGAACCTCTTTGATCGCTGCTCGCTGTGCCCCAATCTTTCAGGTTCATTTTTCGAGGCCTTGGACGTGGAGACAAAGGATGCGTGGACCCTGTTCAACCTCATGGATGTCTCAGGAGATTGGCCGCATACCTGCCTGAGATCTTGTCCAGAGTGGGGAAGTGGCACAACTCTGTTAGATGGGACCTTTATGCATCAATATATTGAAATATATTATCTGCATATGTATATATACATGGAAGTTGTACCGTCTATGTTCCCCGTGCTGTCGCCCCATATGTCCCCATTCTGCCACAGATGTCAATCAGATCAAAAGATCTCAAGGGTCCATGTGACAATGCTGCTACGAGACAAACATGTGCTGGCTTTCACTTTCGCATTCTTAGGTTTCCTCGTCCTTTTTGTGTGCGTGTGAAATCTGGTGTGTTGAAAGTTCTTCATATTATAGCTTCTTGGGAGCCCGTAGTAGCGATGCCCTTTGCTCCTGTTCAGGAAGTGGTGATTTGGAGGCCTCGGAGTTCGTCGAAGGTTGCATGCGCCTCAAGGGCCCGGCCCGCGCCATCGACGTCTCCTTGATGATACGCGAGCAGCGACGCACGCGGAAGAAGCTCTTGGGCCGCTTGGCGGCGCTGTTGACCCGGTTGCCGGGTGTTTTGTTTTTTGTTTGGCATACACCTAGGGCATCACGTAATGTTGGACTGTCTTTAGCATTAGAGCCAAGGGTTAGTAGTGATGGGGTATTCAGAAGATAGGGTTGGTAGATGCATGATATATGTTCATATATATATATACTCATATATAGAGAACCATCAGAGCCTCATAGAACTGGAACACTTGTTGCAGAAGTTAGGGCTCTCCAGCCTCGTGACCCATAAGTTTGCCACCAAGAAAACTTAGCGTCGATTTTGCATCCCCATTGCTTCAGAGAGCTATATACAGAATCCCTCAGGTCAGGAAGAGGACTGAAAACCTCAATGAGGTCAAGTCATGCCTGGTGTTTGTTAGACTCGACAGCCTTCGGCAGCCTATGACTAGAGCATTTGCATCCTTGAGTGGGGATCCATTAAGCCATGTTCCTTTGAGCTTGATGCCAGTTGGTTTAAAGCACAACATCGGTCGACCAGTCGTTCGTTCGTCCGGATCAGCCTGCTGTGGTTAAGATCGGCTTTCAAGGAATGGAGCAGCTTCTTCAGAAGCATTTCGGCCCCAAGGCACACTTGACGGATGCCTTGACTGTATCCATCTAAAGAGTTTTTTGGACAGGATAGGCACCGTCATGGCACCGCTGGCGGCACCGCCATGGCACCGCCATGGCATTTGTCCGGTGTTTTTGAACCAAGAAGGAACTCAACAGCTCAAAAGGAATGCCAGCTCACAGCCCTCAGAGTCGGCCAAGTGATTCGAGGTGATTGGCTTTGAGCTTCAATTCGGACAACGGGCCAGAAATGGCCAGAATACAATTTTTAAGTGTTCTTTAGATTGCCTAGCATCGCCTTTTTCTGGTGTTCCCCTAACTGACTTTGTGATATGACCCACATATGTTGTGCAAGTGCTGCAGATCAATTATATAAATGCACCGCACATGTCCGCAGTTGTTTGGGCCACACCGTTGCAAGACGTTCGCTCCGGATCACTTTTTCAACGCCCTCCGTCGACAGGGCGATGTAGGTTCTCGGCGCCTCCGGGAGTCGTCGCTTTAGGGCAATTTCGAGCAACGCGGCGAACAGCATCGCGGTGCGTAAAAAGGTGGCATGGACGTTTTTGCAGTCAAACTCTTCGTATGGTTCATGGACAAGCCTCTTGGGTTTTGTGCATCCAAAGTGCTGTAGGGATTGTTGGAACATTGATACCCCTCAAAAAGCACGGGAGGTGCAGAGGTACCACTGTGCTCCGCCAGGTTGATCCCCTCTTTCGGTCAACCAAAATGGACTTGGAACCCCTAGTAGCATGCTTGCTCCGTTCGTCGTGATGCCCTTTGCTCCTAGTAGCGTTCTTGTTCCTAGTAAGGCCAGGAGCCCTTATAGTAGCATCCTTGCTCCGTTCGTAGCGATGCCCAAACCATCATGGATAATGGTGTGAACATGCCCGTCCATGACCATCCGTGTCGTACCTGCCGATGCATCCCGCTGGTGGGTTTCGACGACGGGCGGCTGTGACGGCCAACCTGACAATTCGACGGCACCGACCTGACAATGGATTCCGAAGCGATGTACATTCGGAGACGCTAGATACCAACGATACCAAGTTGTCCCCAAAAGAGATCAAAGGAGTGGTCTTTTTAGTGATAGCACGCTGTTCTGTTCCAATGTGGTCCTTTCTTGGGTTTCGAATCCCAAAGGCTGTTCCATGGTCCACGTCTCGATGCATTTGGGCTCAGTCGCCAGACACATGGACCACTTGAGGCACAGGTCACGTGTGCCGATGCATACTCCAGTGGAGTCAGAGACGAATGACTGGACCGCCGATTGGGAGAGCCGTATGGATGCACTCCTGCTCGCCAATAACGCTCCTGGGCATGCACATATGGGCAAGGGTATGCGGGGTATACCCCTTCTAATGAGCTTCATAACTTCATAAGGCGAGAAACAAACCATGCGGATCGTGTGAACAGTTATCATATGTTATCATAAGTTCTCTTGTAGTAGGGGTTCTCATGTCATTTTCGTCACTGCTCCTCTAAAGTCACCCTGGACAGACTCGTGGGATTACCCTTGTTTGGGAGCGGCAACAACTAGGAGCGGCTTCTCCGAAAGCTGGACGAGCTTGGCAAAACCACGTGCAAGGTGGAGGACGGCGGTGAGGGAACTCTTTCAGGAACGTTATCGTCCTATTGGGAGGCCCAGCTCAGCGCGTCAACTCCTATGCCTTCCAGCCCAAGGGCACGGCCGCCGAGTGTGATTCATGCGGAGATTCCTGAAAACAAAGCGGTGCCTCCCAACTTCCGGGATCGAGAGAAGGTGCCTTGGGATGAAGAGAAAGGAAACCAAGCATTGTTATGGGTGTGGAAGAATACATAGAGAAAAACACAGGCTTAGTGGCTTGGTGATCCGAATGGATGAGGAGACTCCAAGAAAAACAGGCTAATTACCAGTCTCTCGAAGTAATCTAAAATGATGACCTGCCTCTCCCCTCAGATCGTACCAGCTCCAACTCTGTGATAAGCATTCTGGAGCTCTCAAGCAGACTGCCCAGGTTCATCATCAGGTTCTAGAAGATTCCAATCAAACTCTGCAGATGTTACACTCCCTGAAATGATCATGGAAGTGGAAAACCACTTGTTTGCAGAAAAGTTGTCATCCAACAGGCCATGCCATCCACGTTTGTTCCAGAGACATCATCTTGCTCAGCAGACCTGAACAGTGCACATTAGTACAGTATGAGTTACAGTATGTACTGTGGTAGTTGGCCGCCCCTCCGCTCTTGAACGTTAGAGACTAAAAGTAAATACCAGGATGGGATACATCTGAACTCTCAAGATGTGAGACTTGGTTCCCACTTCCCTGCCATCGTTTGACAGCACCTTCCCGCAGCCATCAACTTGTTGTGCGCAATGCTTGATACGGTTGACAAAAGTCTTAGATATGTTCCTCAACTCTTAGCATGCGCCATCGCTCTTTCACCGGTGGTTCCTTGGCCAAGATCTTGAAACCACAGGAGTTGAGAAACTCAACATGTATCAACCAGAAACCTCCAATTTCGGTCTCTTTGGTTCCAGCACGGGAAATCACTCTTGTTCCTAATAGCAGTGGCCTCCAACCTGATAGCGGTAGCAATGCCCTTGTTAGTAGCTTCTGGTTCCTAATAGCTTCTTGCTCCTAGAAGTGCGGCCAGGAGCCCCTAGTAGCGTCCTTGCTCCCAGTAGCGATGCCAGGAGCCCCTAGTAGCTTCTGGTTCCTAATAGCAACCACAACTTCCAAAAAAGCGGCCTCTTCCAGGCAAGCTCCTCCCGCCTCTCTCGTTCCTCCTTGGCCTCTGGTCGCTCCCGACTGTCCAAGCAGTCGGCGACGGCCTCGACTGTGTCGGACTCGGTCTTCGGGCGGATGTTCCACGTGACGCGGAAACCGCGAGTGGCTCGGAGCTGCGCTGCTGCGGTGGACTCGGTGGACGTCCCCAAGACTTAGCAGTTCGGTTCGGCGTGTGCCCCAGGACTTGTCGCAGTCGATAGACCATGATCATGATGTTTGAGAAAGCCCTTTAAATGACCATCATCATCCACTGTTGCAGGGAATGGGATACACCCAAGTAGTGCCGACAGACTTGAAGGAAAGTAGTTACTTA